ACGATAGACCCCATATTTGAAGAGGGGGCTCCTTTCAAAGTGGGGGTGTCAGGACATACAAAAATGCCTTTAACTCAGAAACTGTTTAACATAGGAGCTTCAGATTTCTTTTGTTGTTTAGCTCTGATGAGGGGCTATACATTAGGTCCCCCCCCCCATAAAAAAAACAAAAAAATTAGACCCCCACCCAAACCACTACAATTTTGGGATGCACCTAGTAGCATGACATTTATTAGGAATAAAGACTTCTGAGTTCTGGTGCATTTGTGCGTGCGGGGGTCATTATGTTACCGCTATGCAGTGTCTAGTTTTTTTTTTAAGTTGAGGGTTTAAAGTCTGAATGCTTGTGTCACATTACATCCAACTTTTTCATCAGTGATGTGGGGGTGAAGGATCGATAAAGACACTAACCTTGAGTCAGACTCTTTAGCTCCACATGTCTTAAGCTACAGAACAGGTCAGGACGTTTTGTTATTTTTTTCTAATGTTCCATGTCCTGGAGGACTGAGAATCCACAGAAACACATGACAGTAAAGTCCAACACTGGTCGAGGCCCATATCGACTCTAAACTTACTTGTACATTCTGACTTCCAGCAAATCTCTTCGTTCCAAAACAATAAAATGCTGCATGGAGCATCTGGTCAGAGGCAGGTTCAGATATAAACACTGAACTTAACAAGCATGTCAGATAATTATTTAATCGGCTCTGATTGCACAACAATTTCAGAATCGACACGCTAACAAGTAGCATCCATACTTGTTTCTGTCAACAGTGAGCTGAATGTGACGTAACATCATCTTCTGCGCATGTGAGTTGAATACTGATGGCAGCCGTATTTAAAATATAAAGTGATTGTCCACTCACAAAAAAAAGGATTTGAGCAAAAAAAAAAAATGGAGTTAAGCGTTAAGACCTGCAGTGTGACAATGATTACTGTGACCGCAGTGAAAAAGTGATAGGCTCCCTGGTGGGGCTTAATGATGAACTGCATCTATGATTCTTGATAAGAGATAAATGTTTAAGAAATAAATTTGCAGACCCATTAAAAGTCTCTTATGACCCCACTAGTCTGATTTTTTAAAACTTTAAAGCAGGGCTATTCAACTAAAGATGCACCTGTTTAAATTATTTTACTTGTCTTAATTTTATCCTTTGTTTTTTTATCACTTCCTTGCCCTCTCCTCTGATTTTATCTGTTATTTTCTGAGTTTTTATTTGTTCTTTGTGATCTCCTTTTTTACTTCATGACTTTGCCTTTTATCATGTGTGATTTTATCTCTTGTCCAGCGCTTTGTTTGAAAGCGCTCTACAAATAAAGTTATTATTATTATTATTATTATTATT